AGAGCTTAAATAGGTAATCTCCTAGTTAGGTTGCAGATATGGTGGCTAGTGTAGAACCCAGATGGACTACTTAAATTTGATACCAAAAGTACACATGTGGCTAGTTGTATTCTCGTGAAATTGATATAATATTGTAATTACCTAAATAAAGCTAAGTGCCGGGAACCTAAGTAGTCACCTTAATATTTAAAAAAAAAAAAAATACTTACCAATATACTTCTATGTTTTTTTAAATATCTACAAAAAAAACAAAATAACAAAATCTTGAAATTTATTTACCAAATTTCTAATACCCTAAACAATATTTTATCTTTTTCTACTTATAAACTCTGCAAGCATACTTGTTTCAAATATTTTAAAATTATTAACTGTTGTTTTTATAATAACAAATACCATTTAATAATATATATACTTTGTAGATAAAAATATTTATCTTTTGTATTTTGTTATATCTTCTTCTTCAACCTTCTCTAGTATTTCAATAATCTTAATTACTATTTTTTTTCTTAACTAATATTGTAAAAACCTTACTTTTGTCTTTTAAGCTATGCAAAATATCATCTTTATCAAGAATTTATCTGCCTCTTCTACTTTATCTGATAAGAATAGTATTATTTATTATCTAATTTTTTTCTATCAAAGGCATATCTTCTTCTCTTTTTTATTATACTGTATATTTAATCAGATCTTTATATATAATTTTAACTTTTTTTACTCTTTTTCTTCTCTAAAAAATCACCTAATTTTTGTCATTCCTTTAATCTAACTTTCTTTTCTGATAATAATTTATTTTCTATACTTTTTTCTAAACTATCTTTTAAATAAATCTTCTAATATCAAACCGCTACTAAACCTACTTACTAAATAAAGCTAAAGCCAAAAACAACTCTCTTAACTCTCTTTTAATACCACTTATTTTAACTAAAAATACCAAATTACTTATTTTTACCTCTATATATCTTTGCTACTAATTTTTCTAATACTGTTTTCAAATCTAATACTACTAACTACCCCAACTTAGACCAACTATCTTTAACAAACTAACTTATCCTAAATATAATAATTCTAAAGATTTTAACTAGTTTGCTACTTATACTATTACTAATAATATAGAGAATAACACCTTTTTAAATATACTGAAATATCAATTTTTTAATTTTGTTAAATCTAATTTTATTGAATTTGTATTTGGTAAAATTGTCAAATCTACCTCCAACAATCTTAATAGTCAAGAAAAAAACAAAAAATCTAGATGTATCTTCAACTATCTAATAGCTTTCCTTGCTAGCAAATATATATAAATTCTTTTTAATTTAACTTTAATTTTAATATTAATTGATTTAAGAATAAAGTATTAGCTAATTAATTTTCATAGTAATTATGTGTATATTGTATAAAATCATGTAATTAACCAATCAGAATTGTAACCACCAGATTTACTAATTAGAATTAGCAATTCTTGTATAATTTAACAAAATTTTAAGTTATTTAACTTTTTTTTATCTATATATATATAACATAAAATTTTTAAATAATACAAGATATAAAATTTTATTAATATAAATAAGAGACTTCAAAGTATATACCAAAAAATTTTGGTTAAGTTTAGTTATGTTTCTAAGAAGTTTTATCATAGATAAACTTTTGTTGTCTATATAAAATTTTGTTGTACACGTAAATCATATGAAAAAATGATTTACAAACATTACAAACACCCTACCCTAAATCGGAAAAATCGTGTTGTACCTAGCTTTGCCATCCCCAAATATGGAAATGATTCCGATATTGGTTACACACGAACACCAGCCAATCATACCTAAGTCACCCGAAAGTTAGCCAATCAGGTTACAAGAAAAGTTGGTGAATTAAAATGGATTAAGCAGATATGTTATAAAGTGAAGTGAAAGCATTAATTCATCCGCTATAATTTCTTGTATTTTTAAAAAGTTAAGCTAACCGAGCGTTTTGAAAAAAAAGTATTATAAAACGTATAAAAAAAATTGTTTATCAATTGTGTGACTCAGATAATCAATTCCATATTTGGGACGGTCTCAATGCAGAGAGGGCCCTTCTTGTCGGTGTGCCGAGTTGCTAAGTCAGGATATTTGTCAACGCTTAACAATCTGAAAGTATTCCAAATGCACGACAAAAAATTTGCTGATTGTTTCAGATTCACTGAGGATGAAATCTCTATCATTCTTCAACATAACAATAAGGAAGATCAGTTGGATGATGTTCATCTATAAAATCCCAATTTTTTTATTGATGACGGAAGTTTGGAGGCACGCTGGGTAACACAAGTAAGCCTTGCATTAATGGAATGTTTAAAGAGCTGTTTTTGAATCATAACAGGAGGCACCGCAACTATCAGGAAATTACTTTTGCACTCAACTGAAGACTTTAGAAAAAAGTCATTAACTTTACTCCAAAAAGCGCGATCAATGTGAAGATTTTGGAAGACATTGATTACAACACACTATCTCCTCGTGCAAGTGATGTAATATGGACTCTACTATACTATGAAGACTATCTTACCATGAACGAAGACAAAAATCTATACATCAAAGACACAGAGGTTTTCACAGAATGGAAAGAGTGGTTAAATAATAGAAATTCATCTAATCCAGATACATGCTGAAGATGCTTTTGCAGTGCAATCTCACGAAATTTGAGTAGGAACTTCTAACGATGATAATGGAATCTCTTTCATATTTTGATCTCCCAGATAACTCAGTAGAAACTAATTGATTGGCTTATAGTTGGCATACTTTCACAGGTGAAGGATGCTTTGATGTTAGGATTTCACCAAACACAGAAATGTGGTTTATCCGGTATTGATAATTATAGAGTTCAAGGTATGCAAGAAGAATAAAAAAGAATAATGACAATGATGAATATGAAATATGCTGATGAATCCAGTGATGAAGAAATCAAATATGGAAATGAAGAGCGTGAACTTCTGAAGAGGCATTAGCACAGATAGTAGAGAAAAAATACCGCACTGGTATAAGAACTACATAATTGGTTGAGTACGGAATTGCTTTTCAGGGAAAACGTGCATGTATGTTGAGTAGAGTTCTTCGTAAGGAGAGTGATCAGTGGGTAGAGGACGAAAAAAGGCTAAATAATTATTATTTTTAACGATCATACTGTACGAATGTAAAATAATATAATTTTTTTTTATTACACGAACATTAGCACCGGAAAATAAAGTTATCATTAGTTTGCCCATATTCAGCTCCAATTTTAATATGTATGCAATAACATTGATCCGGAACTAATTATATGATCATTTTTTTCTCGTACAATTCTGTTGGAAACCCGATTATGAGTTGTGGACTAGGTGTTACAGAAAAGGGGAAAATCGACAAAACAAAGATCTTCGGAAGATCAATTTTTATATTATAAATTTATAAGAAAATACGAACTTTGTGTAAAAAAAAAAAAAAAAAATTGAATATTTGTCGATTTCCCCCTTTTCTGCCCATTTAGTATGGCAAATGAAAATCATCCGCAGACATCGGGAAAATAAAAAATGATTATATGCCGGTTTTCGTATACATAATACGTTTGCTTTATGCACAGATGTCAATGTGTATTAACCACATGAAATGCACAGAAAGATATCGGGAAATTCTTACCGAAGAATAGGGGCTGTGCTATGCTACTTCGTAATTCGTCAATTAGAAATTACTTGACGAATGGTTTCGTCATTCATTAATGACGAATGATTCGTCATTCGTCAGATATCATCAATTCTAAAGATTGTAAGAGAATCTTAAATGTATTCCTTTCAAGAAATTTCATTTATAATATGTCACCATTGCAAGCATGAATCTTTTGTGAAGATGTTTATTAATCCAGTAGACTTTATTTGTGTACAACAAAAATTCATGTGGTATTTTTAAATTCTAAATGTTGTTCCTCTGGTGCCCATTCGCCACTTAGTGCTTCTCCGATGAACTTACAGTAGCAAGCCCGCTTTTGACGTGGTAATTGTTCATGTCTTGCCAGAGTGTGCTATCCTTAGACGGAAGGCCAATCCAATTCAGCTTTACATTTGGACCGAATACCAAACAATGGCTGGAGCCACCAAAATGGAACGTGCCCAGCGGCTCACCTTTTTTGACAAGCTGTCCCTCTTTGACAAACACTTCGCAAGAGGAAACTTCGGCCATCCCGATCGCGATGAAGCACATAAGGCCGATATGATCTTTAGCCTTAATGAATATCAGCGCTCGAGTCGCCAAAGAAGCTATGTAAGGTTGCGAGTTGTTCGGAGCGGCCCCGTCGGGATTTCCGCCAAAGAAGCCTTGAAACATATTCTCCGAGTAGTACGTTCCCGACACATGAGTGACTTTATGGATTTTACCATCGACAGGGCAAACCCATCTGTGGTAGCCGAGAGCTGAGAGGAAGGCTTGGTATACTGTACCACCAACGAACTGCTCAGCTAAGGGGTCATTATCAAGCATGTTTTGGAGCGAATAGGCCTGTTTCTTGCCCATGAAGTTATCTGTGAGCTGGACATTGCTAACCGGGTATTGAAGCGGAGCAGATTCGCAAGCATGGACGATATCCGCTTCGCCAAGGGGTCGCATTCCGTCCTGAAATTCGCGGGTAAAGAAAGCGTCCCATGACTCGAAGCCGAGAGTGTTCTTGTCGTTTGGATTAGGACAAACGTAGAGTTCCGTGAAAGTATACGTACCAGCTGGAGAAAGTCCGTTCTGGTTGCCCTTTGCGGTCAAGGCGTTGAGTCCGTCGGCTCCAAGCCAGCCAGGGAGGACTGAGCTGGAATCTTTGCTCTGAAGGAACTTGCTCCATTCAGTTAGAATATCTTTGAGACAGCCGTTGACTTTAGGTTCCAGGAAAAATGCGAAGCCAGAAGCAGTTGCCATTGGCCAATCAAGTATAGCATTGATTGGAAAGCCGATAAGGCCGCTGAGTTCGGCCGCGTCCGACCAGGGAGGTGCAGTCGTCATGATCGTATCGATGGCTAAGAGCATGTCATCGAAGCTTTTCACTTTAGGCTGGCCGTTGGGATCAGTGTTATAGGGGGGAACGTTCGGTACTTCGTTAAACATGGAAATCGAAAGCGCGTTCAAGTACGGATCACTAGTTACGACCTCTTTGAAGATTATCAAAAGACGGTCAATTTCGTTAATATTTTTCTTTCGAGCCTCCTTCATGGCCCATTTCGTAATATGACGTCGATCCTTTATATATACGCAATCATATGATCGACGAATAAGAAATATGTATGGCGTACGGCTAGAGATGGGCACCATGCGGTTATTGCGCGGGTAATACAGGCCTCTAAAATGGAAAAGAACAAATTTCGGGTATTCCGGATCACGTGCGAAAGAAGAAAGAAAGGAAAAAAAGCGAAAATACTCAAAAACTAGTGTTTAAATCGACCTTTGTGGATTAATAAAAAGTAACGGGGATAAAATTTTACATAAGAAACTCCAACTTATCGCCAAAGTCCACAACCCTAATCCTAAACTTCTATTTTTACGCACAGTTTATTTACAAAATTTGATTTCCTTTTTTGGTTTGTGTTACCCGCGCAAATAAGTAAATCGCCATGCGCATGATGCGTGCATGCATTCGCAGGTTATACTAATTTACCCCCACTGTCTGATTGGATGATGATTTTCTTGGACAAATTTATTACGCAACTCACGTGCCGTAAATCGTCTTTACAATAGAAATACTTTTAAAAATTAAGCGAACATATATCGATAACCACCCGATCAAATCCAACGAAATTTTTTTTTAATTATGCGAATAAGTAATTTTTAAATAAAAAAAATATATTCATCGAATTTTAACAGATGGTTATCGACGCAGTTTTTGAGACGTTTTTGATTTTTCTAAAACTTTGAGCAAAGACATTCGATAACCACCCATCAATTCGGCAAAAAAAAAAAATTTACTTGAATCCTAGACTCTTAGTATTCAAATAAAAAATTTTTTATCGAATTTAATCAGGTGGCTATCAAGATATCTTCGTTCAAAGTTTTAGAAAAATTTGACGCAACTTTTATTTTGATAGATGGTTTTGATTTTTCTAAAACTTTGAGCGAAGATATTTCAATAGTTAATTAATCAATTCGATAAAATTTTTTTTATTTAAATTCTACAGACTCTTAGAATTTAAATAAAAAAATTTTCACCGAATTTTATTAGAGTTCCTATCCATTTATCTATTGGATATCCAGATCTGAATTTATTCGGATATCCGTTTTACTATTGATATCCGGATAATTAT